CCAAAATTCCAAGCCACAGACAGATGAGAGAAACAAAGGGCAAGCAGTGAAATATCTACAGAAAAGATGCAGGGTCTCTTCTTTTCTCTATTTTACTTCACTTCACTTCACTTCACTTCACTTCACTTCACTTCACTTCACTTCACTTCACTTTATATTATTCTTCATCCATTTGTTCAGCCAGGTTTAATTAGTTATCATAGAGAAAATTCCTCAGTAGTTCTTTCAAGGATAGAGATATGGAAGACTTGTTATGGCTACTTCTGGCTACCTCTTGACTACTTCTTTTTGACCTCTTTAGAAAATATGAGAAAAATAGTAGAATATGATACCTGAAAATTCCAATGCAAAGACAGTAACAACCACATCAAAGAAGCAGATGCATGTCAGGCAGATTTACTAATATTTGTAGGAAAAGTCTGACATCCATACTATCTGACTTTTGGGTTGTGAAGACTCAAGACTGAACAATCAGCAGAAACCTATAGTATTCAAGGAATGTCACATATCTATGGAAAAACTCTGACTGACTAGCTATGGTACCTTTTGCATGGTCTTAATAGGCTCTGTGTCCTGCAAGACATTATCCTGCCCATATTGCACATCACCAACTCTCGCCATACAAATCAAAAGGCCCTCAGTAATACAATTTTTCTTTTTAATATAAGCATCAGAGGATACGACAATACTAGGTTATGGTTATTTGGGGAAAAAAAAAATAAAAAAGGAAAATTTTGTGCTTAAAGAGAAACCAGAACACATCAGCTGCCCATACTCAAAAGCAACCTATGACAGGAAAACAAACAAACAACAAGCAATCAAAAACAAATCAAAAAAAAAAAAAAAAAGAGTTAAAACTGGTGAATGAATAATTTTGTATGAAGGAATGCTTAATTCTGGATGACTTTTTACTGATTTTGATAGATGATGTGCAGATGAACTTACAAGTGACAGAGAAAGGTCAGGATACTGGGCATCCCAGAGCAAAATGGCTAAATAAGTTCCCCACAATGACATGGGCTGTGGCACCATCTGCATGAATACATTCTCATGAAAGAACTGCTAACCATCAGCTTTGACACTGGTCTTCGCCACTCTCACCTTCCTGTAGCCATTATATCACAGTGGGCAATTGCAGTGAGAACATGCTAGTTGGAGAATGGGTCTGTCACACAAGGAGATTGACAATAAATATAGCTTTCTTGTAATCAAGCTCTAATCAATGCTTTCCTCAATGACAAATGCACTTGACCTCCCCAAAGTATATATCATAAGGAAGAGAGAGGAAAGTACTTGCAGTCATAACACTCGGTCTCTAATTCTTGCAGTTGCATTTGGGACATAACTCTTGTGACTACATGGCACATCTGTCTTTTTCCTCCTTAATGTAAAGTGCCTTAAGAGACTCCAGTCTCCTGTATTGCTTCTAGTTGTGTCAGGAATGATCGACAAGTAGTTTGGCTTGAGCCTGGTCATGTTTGGCTTTCACTGATGTCCCCTTCAATTTAATAAATATTCAGAGAATTTTATTTGTCAAAGAAATCTATCACAAGGTTTCATAGCAAAGTTTTCATACACACTGAGAAACTTCATGGAAATAAGGAGTTTGTAGATTTTGCAGACAAAGGTCTGCCTTTTTCCTTATTTATGCAGCTTCAAAAAAAGCATCAGTTACATAATTCTGGGTATAGAATTTGTTTTATTTTGTTGAAAACTCACATAGAATCATGATGATTGTAAAAACCTCCAAGATCATCAAGTTCAACCATAAACCCTTGAACACCATGCCTATTAAATCACATCTCTAAGTGCCTCATCTACACATTTCTTGAACCTTGCCGGAGGGGGTGATTCCACCATTTCCTTGGGCAGCAAACTTAAGATGACATTTTCTTAGCCATTCTTCTCATTAATTTCTAAGAAGGGATCAGGCACTGTCATTCTATCCTTTCATGAGCATTTAAAAACATTAAAAGCATAATCATACATTATAGGCTTTTAAACTTTTTTTTTTTTTTTTTTTTAATATTTCCTTTTATACCCAGAACAGTCATTTCATTGTTTTTTAAAAGCTTGTGGTGTATGAAATGGTAGAACGTACAGACTATAGATCGTGTTTAGTACAAAAGCAAGGAAGAAAAGGTCTGAATGACTGTGCTGAAAGGGAGAAACAGAGGAAGGGCACAGAGGAAATAAATAAGGGACATCATAGAGAAAGAGACCAGATATGGCTTGATAGACTGCTTTTTAAATTTTAGAAAGGAAATAAACTGTCAAGAAGATCTTTCCTATCATGAAATCCTGACTGATGAAAGTTAGAGAGAAAGGTTAGTTCACTAGGAACTGGCTTAAGTTAATCATGTAAAACCAGCATCCCTAAAGTATTTATACACCTAATTCACAGTGAAATAAATGAGTTTGATTTAAGTCTCCTTATGCCTGACTTCATCATCTGTGAAATAGGGAGAAAATATAGGTCATAATAAATTCTGTGATCAAGACTGCACCAGTGTGATAAGGAAACTGAGAATGTATGCTCCTGGATAGACAGTGAGCTCCAGAGGGAGGTCTTTATGCTCCCTGAAGCTAGCGCTGAAGTCAAATAAAACTGCCAGGGCAGACCAGAGGCCAGCTAAGAAGGATAACCAGTGCATCTCTCACCACTATATTCCCCCTAGCACTGTGGTTTTCAGATTCTCTTGTTTGGCAGGATAAGATAGAGTGAAGATGTGGACATGAAATTCTGCTTAACAGATGGATAGACTTGCCCTGCTTTAAAATTGCTTCCCTCTTGTTCTTTCTTGACCGAGGCTTGCCTACTTGCACTATGCAGTTAAGTGTGATCTAGCTTATTCTCACTTCTCACTTGAAGATATTTCCCTGGTGATAAAGAGAAAAACAAACTCTATCCTTTATTTTCCCTGAGCATAGGAAGTAGTATAATTTTTATTTATTCTATTTTTGATATCATTATTATACAGTGCTTATACTCTGGGTTCCTAAAGAAACAACACTTCTTTGATTTTTCTGACAGCTTCTCCCTAAACTCTTATGAATCTTTTCGCTAATTTCAATTACATCTAATTGAAGCCTCAGTGAATATCTGATAAGCATCACAAAAATGGGAAGTGATATAAAAGTCTTTATAAAAGAAGGAAGGAAGGGATAAGAAAAAGGAGAAATGAGAAGGGAAAGAAGAGTAAAGGAAAGGGGAAAGGAAAGGAGAAAGGGAAGGAAGACTGGGGAAGTAGGAGAGTGGATGTTTGGGTGCTCACTCAGTTTTTGCAGTTTTATAAATTCTTATTTTTGTGCTTCTTAACACAATTATAAGATCACTAAGATTTCTTTATAGGCAGTTGATATTTGATCAGTCGTAGAACGACAAGGGACATCTATTCTTGGCAGATGCTAACACATATTTCCAATTTGTCAGAACTCCAAAATATAAAATACGGATAATTTTATCCTGATGGGCCAAATTCACCATTGGAGTATTGGACTATGTGAATAGTCACTTTTAAGAAATCAAAACAATTCAGATTTTTGAATAAACTTTAAAAACACGTTAAAACATGTGCTTTTTTAAAAACACTTGTTTCTCTAAACAACACACTGAGTAAGCTGCCCAGATTCATCAGGATTTACCCAAACTGAAAGACATTAAAATTCATGTATATAAGAGGGAAAGTTAAAATTTCAGATGAAACAATCTGAATTTGTACAAGTCTGCAGCCTCAAAGTGTCATTGTGACTTTGCTTTTTGCATCTCTATATTTTTGCCATGCCCTACAGAGTTTCTAATTAATGGTTCAAGCCCTAGCTACACTAAAGATAACATAGAAGTTTTTGAAAGACTAAGACAGTTGCACTCCTTTAGGATAGTAAAGATTATAAAACCCAGGATGAAGAACATGGCAGTTGGAAGAAGAAATACTAGATATGCTGCTCTAGGTCTCATTAAACAAATCCAACATGAACATTTCAGAAAACACCAGAGAACTATGTGAAACCAGAGGGGGTTTCCAGAGGAGTTTTTTTCAAGGAATGACTTTCAAAGCCATCACCCATTGTATTTCACTCTTCATTCTTAATTTTCCTCTTCCAAAATCAAATCAAAATAAAACAGTAGCAACAAAATAACTCCACTTTTGCCCCATACCCTGACTTGTTATAGGACTTCATCCTAGCAGAAGAAAATACCTGTCTGTAAATGTCACCAAGCCACTAGTTATTCCCCAATTATCTAATATATATTTTATATTAGTGGTTAATATATTACAGTGATTAAGTAGATAGATAGGCAGGCAAACTGATGCTTCAACTGTAAGTTTTATCGAAAACTTTAGGCTAATCTACCCTAAAATATCCCTATTTTAACCTCTACCCTTAAAACTATCCCCGTAAAATTGGATAGTCTAACTATTGTTTAAAATTGAGAACTATTCTCAATCTGTTTAAATAAACTGATTTCAAAGCAAGAATTCAGAAAAACATTTTCTCCCTAATAATCCAAGTTCCTGTACAATGATTTGTATTACTAGGTAAAACAGCCAGAAATATATTGATGGGTGACTGAGAACAATACATTTCAAGGCTGTTTCAATGTCAATAAAAATCGCACACATATGTCACTAAAAATCAATTGAAACCCAAATCCGCGCAACAGTACAAATGTTGTGCTAGCAGAGATCTGTTATTTGCAAGAATATGTTGGAGTGAAATTACAGTAAATTTAAAGTAAAAAAAAAGCCTGGCTACCTGAGAAATCAAGTTCTCTGATAATGGAACCACTTTATTTATTTTGCATAAGCCAGTCACTCACTGCTCAGAAAATTCCCCTGCTAAAATAACTACATAATAATTTAACTTAAAACTAAAAAGGAATGATGCATATGACTAACCTGTGAAATATAGCCCAAGAGTGCTGTCATCTGGAGGATGTAAATATCAAGGAAAAATTCTGCTTAATCAAAAAGCCCTGAATTAAGATTGAGCAAGGATCAGTCATGTGTACTGCTGAAGGGCAAAATCTGACACTATGTTGTCTTTTGCAAGTGGCTATATTCAGCAGATTTTAATAGATTTCATTTGCTGCCTATAATCATTATTGTTTAACATTCAAAAACTAGCAAACAAACAACAACAACAACAAAATATTGCAATGAGCTAGACAAGCGCAAGCAAGCAAAGAAACTATTCCTCTATTCTTGGGATGCATAATATATAAAAAGAAGAAATAATAACAAGATATAGCGTAATAGTTATAATATAGCAAGATAAAATAAATAAATATGGGGTTAATGCTGAAGTGGAATGAAAAAACACTGCCAGAATTTTTTGTATTGCAGAAAATATTTTTAATACATTCCATTTCAAGCTAATGGAAATATTTCACTCTCTATCTTCATAATTCTAAGTATTGTTGAACAGGTATCAGTGTTCCAGTAATATTATAGGAGTATTTAAATGAAAGTGTTCTCTCAAAATGTTTGCTGTAGTCAAACTAGCAGTTTCAAAATTTCCTTTAAAACACACATTTCAAGCATGTCTAATTCTATAGGAATTTTAAAAACACTTTCTGTTTTAGAGAAAGGCCATTATAATATTATCATGTAAAGCTCCACACATCTAACAACTTCTATGCCTAGGACCAATCTGTCTGTTAAACAAACACTGATTTCAATACAGCTGCCTTGCATGGTGTCATACAGCTCCTTCATATTGTAAGCATACCCAAGCATATCGCTCTAGATACTAATTCAGTTCGTAGGTGTGTTTCCAGATCATAGATTCTGATGCCACATGGTCAACATTAATTTGATCCTATGTTTTAGTTCTTTGGAACTCCGGCACCTGTATGCTTCTTTTAAGCATAATTCAGATCTTATCCTTATCTGATCAGAAGGTATTTTTTTTAGGGTAAAGGGTCCATGTGTGAGGTAGCAGGTGCAGATAAGCAAATAGCAAAATGAGATATTAATTCTGTGCTTTTCTATTCCTTGCAGGGTCTCAGATAATTCACTCCAATCACTCTATTTTTTCATATAATGCAGTTTCCTGCAGTCAACGTGAGAAAAATCTTTGAGTATTCCATTTTTATGGATGAACAATAACAAACCAAAATGATTGTTTCACAAGATACATGCAGAAATCATCCTGAAGTACCAGGAATTCATTCTACAGGAGAAATAGATATGTTCTTCTTGATTAAAAAAAAAAAAAAAGGAGAAAAATAACTTTTTAATATAACATAGTGTGTTCCTGTTCACTATGAAAAATGGCTTATCAAGAGCAGAACCCTTAAATAGACCTTACAGATCCTACCTATCTATTCAAAGGATAATTTTTTTTTATGATAAAACCACCTTAGATCTGCATGGAAGTAAGAGCAAATAACTGAGTAAAGCAGACATCATAATCACACACATACCAAGAATATCGTGCTTTATTTTCTTCCCTTACCTGTCAAAGATAGGTCTTTGATGACTTATCATTGGTCATTTGCCCTATGAACAGCACCGAAGACTGATGGGCTAGAAGTGCAGAGATGATTTATAACAGATTTTTCAACTATTTCTATATCTAGCAATCTAATTTCCTTAAAAAATACAGGTAGATAGATATGTCTTCTAGATAATAAGTGCTTCTGTGTCTACTATGGAACTGGAAACAAGAGAAGGTCTTGAACCAGTATGTTTTACTAATTTAATTGTGAAATATAATCAGGAATTTTATTTAAAAGATGTTCTATATTTATATAAATTCAAATTGAAAATGATCTAAAAGGAAAAAGCAGTTAAAGAAAGACAGAGAAATGAAAGTTCAAACAGCAGCAATTACTTTATGCATATATACCTCAGAGACCATGATTCAAACAGAGACATCATTAAGGACTACCACAGATATTTTTATATTCACTGCCTATGCCCACTTGATGGTATCCACTCATTCATTCATGCTAGATGGTCACTGATCACGATTACATACTATTCCTGCAAGAATCAGCTTTATAAACTGATATTTTGCAGGCTGATTCTAAGGTACCAGTGAATAGCTGTCTCAGAATCACAGAATCACAGAATATTCAAGGTTGGAAGGGACCTCTACAGATCATCTAGTCCAACCTTCCTGCTCAAGCAGGCACACCTACAGCATGTGGCACAGGGTGGCATCCAGGCAGGTTTTGAAGACCTCCAGAGAAGGAGACTCCACAACCTCCCTGGGCAGCCTGTGCCAGCTCTCTGTCACCCTCACAGGAAAGAAGTTCCTCCTCACATGGAGACGGAACTTCCTGCGCTCCAGCTTATGGCCATTACCCCTCGTCCTATCACTGGCCACCAATGAAAACAGCTTGTCCCCTTCTTCCCTGCATTCTCCCTTCATGAGCTTATACATGTTAATCAGATCCTCTCTCAGCCTTCTCTTCTCCAGAGAAAACAAGCCCAGCTCACTCAGTCTCTCCTCATACGAGAGATGTTCCATTCCCTTAATCATCTTAGTTGCTCTTCGCTGGACCCTCTCAAGAAGCTCCACATCCCTCTTATACTGGGGAGCCCAGAATGCACACAGTACTGCAGGTGAGGCCTCACCAGAGCTGAGTGGAGGGGCAGAATCACCTCCCTTGACCTGCTGGCAAAACTTCTCCTGATGAAGGCCGGGATCCCATTGGCCTTCCTGGCCACGAGGGCACACTGCTGACTCATGGTTAACTTAGTGTCAGCCAGGACTCCCAGGTCCCTCTCTGCAGAGCTGCTTTCTAGCAGGTCGACCCCTAATCTGTACTGGTGCCTGGGGTTATTCCTCCCCAGGTGCAGGACCCTGCACTTGTCCTTATTGAACCTCATGTGGTTCCTCTCTGCCCAACTCTCCAGCCTGTCCAGGTCCCTCTGGATGGCAGCACAGCCCTCCAGAGTGTCGGTCACTCCACCCAGCTTGGTATCATCTGCAAACTTGCTCAGGGTGCACTCCGTGCCCTCGTCCAGGTCATTGATAAACGAATAGAACAGCAGCGGGCCCAGTACTGACCCCTGGGGGACACCACTGGCCACAGGCCTCCAACTGGACTCGGCCCCATTTATCACCACCCTCTGAGCTCTGCCATCCAGCCAGCCCTCGATCCACCGCACCGTGCACTCGTCTAGTCCACTCTCCCGGAGATTCCGTATGAGGATATTATGGGAGATGGTATCAAAAGCCTTGCTTAAGTCAAAATAGACAACATCCACGGCACTCCCCTCTTCCAGCCAGCTAGTCATCCCGTCATAGAAGGCTATGAGGTTCATCAGACATGACTTCCCCTTGGTGAATCTATGCTGACTGCTCCTCAACACCTTCCTCTCCTTCATATGCCTGGAGATTCTCTCTAGGATGAGCTGCTCCATCACTTTTCCAGGGACGGAGGTGAGACTGACCGGCCTGTAGTTGCCCAGCTCCTCCCTCTTGCCCTTTTTGAAGACTGGAGTGACATTGACTCTCTTCCAGTCCTCGGGCACCTCCCTCGCTCTCCAGGACCTCTCAAAAGTGATGGAGAGAGGCTGAGCAATAACCTCGGCCAATTCCCTCAGCACTCTTGGGTGMATCCCATCTGGGCCCATAGATTTTTGAGTGGCCARTTTGCCTAAGTGATCCCTAACCCAATCCTTCTCAACCCGCAGAAGGTCTTCCTCTAGCCCATTTRYATCTCTTCCACTTGAGCCCTGCAGTTCATGGGGGGTCACCTTAGCAGTAAAGATAGAGGCAAAGAAGGCATTGAAGAAGGCTAAGAAGGCTAACCCAGCTCCTAGCGCTGTTTTTGATAAACAAAAGACATTGCTCTCTGGAGATGAAAATGATTATGTGAAGCTATAGTTGCAGGAATAATGTGTGTATGAGGGGGAAATAAACTTTTGTCTTTTCGTAATTATCCAAGCCTTTGCTGTATACTATGGCATATTCATGTTCTTGTTGCTTATTTCCTCACTTGCTTGCTTGCTTTCAGGAATTTTGCTAGACTGCTTTATATTTCTCCAGATTTGTTCCATTACTAAGTAAAGCTCTATTTTTTTTTTGTTCCCATGAGTTCCTCTGAGTCAGACAATGGGCAATTCTGCCTATAATCTTCAAGGAAGATTTTAAATTCCCTTGATTTTCAAAACCCAGTTTCTATTTGATTGATGGCTAGTTATATTCACTAAGTTGATCTTAACCTTTATATTAAGAACATAACTATAAAAATCCCAAAGTCATTATGAATACTGATATTGATCACTGCCATGCAACAATCAACATAAAGTAACTTTGTAACAATATGTTGGAGTGAAATTTCCTTAGAAGTTAGCATGAGAGATTCTGCCAGCAAGGGAGAATAGACAAAATTGCTGGGGTGTTAAAGAGGTGGCTTGAATTGTCTTTATCTTGAGTAACTTTGGTTTAATCTTCTGTTTGTTGTTTAAAAAAAAATGGAAAAGGTAGTAAAAAGAATATTAGGCAATAGAGACTAGGATCAAAGCCTAGCATCATTGATGTCAATGTCCCCCTTTTCATTTCAAAGTAATGATTTTCTCAAACACTTTTTTGGTCAAGACTTAATTCGGAGATTCTTTCCCCCCTCCCACACCCACCTATTAGTGCAAGTTCTGTTTTTTCATAAATTTCTCATCTAGCTATATTATGGTAGTAATAAAGTAGGTAACTTGGCATTGATGTGATATCAGTTCCACCTCTATGAAGCTACAGATTTAAGAATAAGGCAATCAAGTCCCAAAAGTTTCCAAAAATGATTTTTCATGAGTGCCGCTCCTTAGGTTCATTAATTAATGAACTTTTAAGCACTTTGTAAAAAAAAATGCTCTAGACACTAAGTATAAAGTATTACTATAGCAAATTATAGATATGAACTGTTCTTTTTATTTTAGAAGTTTAGAAGCTATGAAAATGAGCTATGAGAGAAAAAGAACTATGAAAATGCCTTTTTTTTCTTAATGCTTTTTACATTCTAACAAAAAAGTAAAGGAAAAATAAAAACATACCATTATTACTTTTACAAGCATGTAACAAATTTAGAATGGAGCATTCTTTTCCTTTATATCTGTTACCATACCACCATTAACTGTTGATAACATGAGAAGTCTTCCCATCATGAGAAGTAAGAAGTCAATCACAGATGCGACATGAGACATAGGTCAGTCACAGTTGCAATTAAAAATCTGGGCTACATTAATTACAGATATAATATGTCAGATGGACCTAATGTTCTTAAACACCTACAGTGGATGGATGTCCACAATAACAATCAAATACGGATTGCAGTCAAATACAGTTTTCTGATCCATTATTTTTCAATTAAAATGAAAAAAAAGTTAGGGACAATCCTCATAATTTTCTATAATTATGATTTCAAATTGAAGGCATCCTTGAAGGCAATGTTTGTTGTGTATGATGGCCACAGAATAAATTACCAAAATATATGAATTTTGTAATTGAGATGTAACAACTGTGTTTCTTTTAATGTAGGTCTTTAAATAAATCGACAGGCCAAGTTTCTGCATAAACTTGCTACTAAAATTCACCATAGCTTTACAATTTCATTGCGGAAACTATACAGAGCCAATTTCTCTGGTGCCTGACAGATATCCATAGAGTGATATAAAATTATGGAAAAGGAAGCAGATATTGAAATGAAAGGAATATGAATGCTGTTCTGTCTTATATCCTCTCCTTCCAAATATTCTACTATTTTATTGGCAAATAAAAGGTTATCTGCTCTTTTTCCTTGTTTCTTTTCTTTTGATCTAGAAGATTTTGATAAAGCAGAAATTAAATAAAATCTATTAATTTATTACTAAATTAGTGAGTCATTTAAAATGATTTTATACAACTGTGTCTGCTCCTTAGTTAAACACTTCTAAATGGGTACATCAACTAGAAAATCTATTAACAGAAATCGGATTATGCTTATACTTTTACTATTGGTCTGTAACGGCCACACCATGCACCAGCAAGATGTTTTTTTGCTTGTTTGCTTTCTGCTGGAATAAACAAAAAAGCCACACCCAAGCCCAACTAGGTACGTGCATGTTCATTTTTATGTAGTTTATACCAGGAATACGTCTGATGTATTCTGTATCACTGGAGAAATGATTTAGATAACTTGTCAAAGGAACTTGTTCTTTAGATTTTTATATATTGCAGTCTATGTAGGTCACAAGGAATGAAAAAAAAAAAAAAAAAAAAAAAAAAAAAAAAAAAAAAAAAAAAAAAACTGTGGGTGTTACTTATTGCTTCCTTATCTTGAACACTGCTTTTTTTTTCAATATTTTCATTTCAAATGGCTTTCCATAACTTTAAGTGAAAGCTGTTTTACCTATTTCGTTTGTCATCAGTTTTACTAAAAAATAAATATTAATTTAAAAATAAGGCATCACTATTGAAATAATTAATGACAGCTATTCAGTTATTTTTCATTTGCACAAACCTACTTATGAGCCGCTTTTTGGTAGTTTATATAATAAACTAGACTTTTAATAATTATAGAAACCATTAGGCAGTTAAATTCTAAAAGGGGAAGTGAGAGAGATGTGTTTTCACATTCAATGAATCTTAGTAATCTTCTTTACATTTTGTAACAGCAATAATCTGAAAGAAAGACTTATTTTTTTGACTGTGAGCTTCTGCATTAACTGTGATTTGGCTCTTTCATTCTTCATGTGGCACTAATAGCACTATTTTTAAAAAATGTAACTTCATTATTATAAAAAAAGAAAAAT